AGTAGTAGTAGTAGTAGTAGTAGTAGCAGTAGTAGTAGTAGTAGTAGCAGTAGTAATAGCAACAGCAATAGTAGTAGTAATCGTAGTTGTAGAAATAGTAATAGTAACAGTACCGATAGTACTAATAACACTCATAGTAAGAAGAAGAAGAATAAGACGGAGGAGAATGATTAGAATAGTATTATCCGCAATCACAACAACAACAACATCAGTACTGAAAATCATGTGATGACAACAGTGATGATCGTAATCACACCAATAATACTAAAGATGTTGATGACAATGATATGCAACGGCAAGTATCATGATAACAAGAATGTTAAACATCATCATCATAACAATAGTAAGTCACAGGGACTTGGATTCCTTTCGTCGACAGCAACATTGCATTAGGCTCCAAAACATGTTGTTCATGGGTGCATGGCAGGAAACTACGTTTTTGCCAGCGATACGAGAAGACTCTCCTTTCAGAGAAACACATGCAGAGAAGATGACCAAGATCACCAACACAGACAATGTCACTTGTTCCTAGCATTCAACCACTTCACGATCACCCACAACTCGCAAACCAACAACGAAGAAGCTTGTACGAGAGCATGTGTGTACATCCTTGTACAGATACATATACATACACATGTATATATGCATATACATACACATACACATATATCTCTCTATATACTCATGTATACATATTATATATATATATATATACATATATATATATATACATACATACATACATATACATAAAAAACATATTCACAACGTGTCAGGGGTAACTAGGCAACTGGGTCTTAGGGGTTTCTGAGACTCGGGCCTGCCCGGAAGGCATTCGGCGCAGCTCTCTCGGCTGGTGATGCCGAGACCTAGTTCATTGTTGGGATAGGATTAAAAATGTACATTTTTATTCCTTATATGGATAGGATTAAAAATATACATTTTTGGCGGTTTAGGGTTTAGGGTTTAGGGAGCTCATTGTAGGGATAGGATTAAAAATATACATGTTTATTCCTTATTGGGTTCAACTACCCATGGGATAGGATTAGAAGTGTACATTTTTATTCCTCATTGGGTTCAAGTACCCATAAAAATGTAAACAGCTACCCAACTATGACAAAGAGGCCGTCGCTGAAAGTGCCGGCAGGGCATCCCGTGCACTGCTCGACACTGGTGGCACCTGCGTAGATTATGGTACATTGTGGGTTTAGGGTTTAGGTAGTAGTACATTGTGGTATGCTAGTATAAGATGGTGTACTCTAGTAGATTAACGAATAAGCAACGAGAACCGTTGTGCGACAGACGAAACAAGAGCATCAGACCTGCCAACCTCACACGCCCCAAGCCAAAGAGTTCAGGAAAGCACAGAACTCTGCAACGGGCCTTCTTCGGCGCTCCACGTTCCACGTGGACAAAAGGTACAGCTTTCAAGGGAATCGGCGCCCACCTGCCCACCAAGGGAAGAAGGGCGAAGAGGACGGCTATGAAATGATGGACTATCTATAATATACTATAGATACTGCAATAAACTAATATGCTGCAAAGGCCTATCACGTGCTACAACACACAGCTTAGGTTTGGAACTGTCGGGGAACGAGGGCTTGGCGGTTAGGGTGTAGAGTGTCGGGTTTTGGGTTTAGGTGCTTAGGGGTTCAGATGCTCGTTCCCAGGCACCAGGCACCTTGCCGCTGAAGCGCCCCGCTGGGCAGTGCTGGCAAACGTTTTGGTCTGCACCAATCCTTCGCGGGGATTCGGGAGTTTTGGGTCGGAGGCTTGGGACGAAACCAAGGGGCAGGCAGAGGACAAGGGATCGATGATCAATGCTCCCCGGGCAGGGAGTTCAGAAAATTGCCGGTGACTGGAGGGAGGAGGATGCTTCCGAGCAGCAACTCAGCATGACCGCACACAGCTGCGAAAACAGTGTCACGGACTGATACAGTACAAATCGAATCGTGCTTGGAGCCATTGTCGTACGCAACATCAGAAACTACCAGTTACTTGTAAACGTACACTGGTGATTGAGGCTTGTTGGGCAGCCATAACGCAAAGAGATTGCAGCCTCGGTACACCTGACTCCACATGCCCGCCGCGCATGGCTCACCTCGATGCCCACGCCGACGGACTGTCACTGTTGAAGAGACCTAAACCCTAAACCCTCTTTGATTTCTTGCGCATCGACCCAACTCTGAAATCGGTTCCAAAACTGCAAACTGCACACAGAACTTCCACGGATCCCGGAAGCAATACAACCCGAGCCCCATCTTCTGCACGTCATCAGTTCGCAAAACATCTCATCCTATATTATACCATGTTATTCTGTTTTACGTCAAGTCTAATACAACATAAGGCAATGCAACATAATAAAATGCATTATAAAGTTATGTAATGTAACTTAAATGGGTATAACGGGTATAACCGAATATTTCATCATATACCACAATAAAACAGAGTACAACGTGGGAGTTCCGAAATAAGGGTACCGTATTTGGGGGTCCTTATAATCAGGATCCTACTTATTAGGGTTATTTTCGAAAACTCCCTTATAAGCACTTTCTATATCATGTGATTTAAATGGGTCCAACCAAATACTTTATTATATACCATACTTGGGGGGGCAGGGGACTTAGTAAGTAGGTTATAAGTAGGGTTATAAGTACCCTAAATGGAGTTACCGCAATAATAACCCTACTTATAACCTACGTACTAAGTCCCCTGCCCCTCCAAGTGGGGTCCCCGATTTGCGAAGACTCCCTTATAAACACTTTTCATATAATGCAACTTACACGGGTCTAACCAATTATTGTTTCATGTACCGTAGTTAAACAGAGTACAACATAGCAAAAGTGCCTTCTCTGAGGGCCCCGCAGGCCTCCGCGGAGGAGGCGCCCTCCACGGAGCTCCAGGTCCCCGCCGGGCACTCGAAGCAGGCGCCGATGGAGGAGAGGCCGGTCTCCTCAAGGAGCTCATTATATTTTGTAGTATGTATTCTAATATAGTAAAGTATAGTATAGTATAACATATTGTAACATGCACTCCAGTAAAGTATAGTATACTATATTATACTATTTTGTAGTATGTATTCTAGTATATATTCTAGTATAGTATAGTATATTCTATTCTATTTTGCAAAGTCATGCGATATTGTAGCAGGTAAGACTATGTTGCGCTAGACTCTAGTATAGTATAGTTTAGTATAGTACAGTAAGCTTTCAGGGGCGGGAGAGATGCCCGGGTACAGGTGAGGCTTGGGCTTGGCATTCGAAGTTCCTCTTCAGGGTCGTGCCAGGGCTATCTCGGGCCGAAGAGAACCCTGTTTGAGGCTTAATTTGATGCTCTCTGCCGAGTTTAGAATTCAGCCGTGATGAGCTTGACGCTGACAGCTCTCCAACACTGATGTGCAACACAACTTTCAACCCAAACTGACGGCTGGAAAAATCAAGGGTCGTTGCTCCATCGCCCCATGGGGCAGGCCATGCAAGCATTGGCCGATGTGGCGCCCACCTGGTGAGGCCAGGGGCATCTCAAAGAGTGTTGGTGCCTTCTTCCGTCCTACCTACAAGTCAATACAATAGAATTTACCCAAAAATAGACTCAAACATAGTGACATATAACATAAAACGCGTACCATGGTGTAAGGTAAACATACAAAAACATAAGCATACTACTACAATATGATGCAAGATGATATAACATAATGCAATATGACATGATACATTGTAACATATTGTAACACGGTGTCATGTCATAACAAAATATATGATATAAGATCAGTACCCCCAACCTGGCTGCTCCAGGTCCCCGCAGGGCACGTCTCACAGGTTTCTGCGGAGGTGGCGCCACGCTGCCAGCTGAAAGAGCCGGCAGGGCAAGCACGGCAGTCTAGGCCATCTTTGCCTTAGAGAATATATTCTAGTAGAATGCCATATCCTACATGTTTATATGAAGTAATACCAGACAATAGAACATACTATGATGCAAAAAAGTATGATACGCTCGATCACTTCTGGATTGGCCCAGGACCTGCGAGTTTGAACTTGCTCAGTGCTTCTGCCGACCCCGAGCCATAGTTGTGACAGGCGAGGTGCCGTAGGTGCCGGCCACACCTAGTTCATTGTTGGGGTAGGATTAACAACGTACATTTTTATTCCTTATCGGGTTCAAGTACCCATAAAAATGTAAAAAGCTACCTAGCTATGACAAAGACACAAGGAAAGCAAGGATGCCCAGAGCTCGGCCGCGACTGCCCCGCGGCGCAAGGGAGGCTCGGGATCGCCGCCGCCCGGCTCTGCAGGAGGCCCAGACTACAGCTGCCCTGGTCATCTTCCTGACTTGGAGGACCATGGACTGAGTTTAGGGTTCCCGTTAAGGGTACTATAGGGTTCTATAATGGGGTTCCTTAAAGGGATCTATAAGGGTTCTAGAATGGGGATCATGGGACTTAGTAAGTATGGTTATACGTCCCTTAATTGGGGTTATAAGTAATTCTAAGTATAGTTACCCCAATAATAACCCTAGTTACTAAGTCCCATGATCCTTTAAGTGGCTCTGGCTAGTAGGGAATGAAAGGGGTGTTACTAGAAGGGATCTATAAGCGTATTGTAATATAGGGGCCTAAATAATCCTATAGCTTACCTTTGATTAGTAGGGAATGGAGGAATGGGGAACACTTGTAATTATAACTACTATTACTACCATTCTTCCATTCCCTACTAACCAAAGGTAAGCTTCGTCTTCACACTCGTCGGGTAGGACGTCAGCAAAAGCACATTGCGCCAAGAGCGCGATCAAGAGGAGACTGGCCTTTGAGGCCATTAAACGGGCTGTCACCAGGAAGAGTAAAGCTTTTGAGCCAAAGGCTGCACCCGCCCAGCCAGGATTTACACGTCTCTCACAACATCCCACACGAGTGAAGTCATGTGAGTAGGCCGAAACCCTGTCTAAACATCCCGGAAACCCTAAACCCAAAACCCCAAACCCTAAACCGCTGCAGAATCTCCAGCCTTGCGCATGGCTGTGCTTGCCAAGACATCGCGACCATCGCTCTACTGGCTACTCAGCAACTTTCACGCAGATTTCTGAGCCTCCACTGGAGAAAAGCAGAGAAGAAAACTTCCAGCAGCTGATGCACCGGAGAGCATGGAGCGTATCAGCCAACCCCCCACCCAGCACGAAAGCCAGCAAATAAGATATGGGAGTTTCCGAAAATAGGGGACCCTAATATAGTACCCTAAATAGTAGGATCCTTATTATAAGGACCCCAAAATAAGATACCCTCAATTTTCGGATACTCCCATATGAGAACAAGAGGTGGTAAGAGCCGAAGACCCCCAACTGCAAGCGAGCTGCTTTTGTCCATGCAGCGGGGTGGAGTTTCGAAAATTTCCAGCATCAGTTTATAAAGTATAAAGAGAACATCTGGCACCGGATAACTGGTGAAACTCAGGGGTTTGGAAACACAGAGACCCCTCGCAAAAAGGAGGCTGTGCTGCATCACTTGCATCACAGCTGGCGCATTGCAGGCAGGTTGCCCTGGGTTGTTGACCTCGAAGTCCGACGTGCGAGGTCGCATCCAAACCCAACATGAAATCCACAAGCCAGCTTTGTGACGTCAGCCTTGTTTGTACGACTATGGGTTCGAGCTTCCCTGGCAAACACCGCGGAAGTACGACTTTTTTGCCCTCCATAAGCCCTTCCAGCCCGCAACTGCAATCGGAGACTGTGCAGCCACAACGAGAGACATTCTAGGGCTTCGGGTTTAGGGTTTAGGTCTCTGCGGGCAGTGAGGCCATGGCCCCAATTTGTCCGCTTTCTCGGCGATGGTGAAAAGGCTTCCCTGGTTGGACCTGCCATGATCAAAAGGGGCCCCGACAGCTGTTGGGCTCACATGGTTTAAGGTATAGGGTTTAGAGGTCGTTGCTTTAGATTTAGGAGTTTAGGGTTTAGGGCTTTAGGGGTTTAGGGCTTAATTAAGGTTTTCATGTCTCAGTGAAGTCTGCAACATCGTTCAACAGAAACCCTGAGACGCAATTAACCGCTAACAAGACGAACACTGCGGCCAAACTCTCAGCACATGCTTGGGAACTCTTGAACATCAATCGTTGCAGCCGACAACTCTCTGATACAGGGGCCTAAATAGGTATAGTGTAAAACATACACCCTAACACCCTATTCTAATAATATATTAAGGCCCCTATATTAGGGCACCACTGGAAGCAGCACCAAAGATGCCAGGCACACCCCTTGGGCTTCAACATCACAGAGCCTGCAGCAATACAGGCACCGAGCTTTTACCACTGCCACTACAAACACCAGCCCCCATTTTGTGAAGATGAAACATTACTGTTATTATCATCCTTATTATTCTCATGACTGTTTGAGTCTTCTCCCTTTATAATGATAGATACGGTAATGACAACTCGGACTATACGTACAAGAAGTTGAGGACAGCTCAGGCCCTGACAGTCCAGAACCGGCTCGGTCAAGCTTGCACGCGTCGCCCTGAGGAGCCGTGCGTGCCAGGGCTCAGAGAGCTCCGGCTTTAGGCTTTAGCATTTAGGGCTTCGGCTTTAATTAGCGACTTTAAGGCTTTTAGGGTTCAGGCTTGGGAGCTGACTTTGCGAACAGTTCTCCGAAGAACGCAAGAGAGGCAAAGAGCCCACAAGATGCAGCAGGAACGAGAGAGTGACTGAGATTTGCCGATCTGCCAAATTCGACATTGGCATAGATTACGGTGCCATGGCCGGTCTCCGTAATCCGGAATCAGCCGGCGCTTGGGCTGTGGCAAGAAGGTCGTCTTCAAAGCATCATGCGCTTTGATGCGTGTGGCAACATCCTGACAAGCTGATGGGACAAGGTTTCCCGAAATCTCGATCTCCTGGAGGCAGCAACTACGAGTCCTTGCAGACAAGACCATTGATCATGTTGCGGCAGTTCTCACTGATGTGGTCGAAGCACTGATAGGCCATGTTCACCTGTCATGCAAGCTAAAACCGGCACGAGGCGAGAATAAAGCCCAAAGTGAGAGAGCAGTGCCGAAAGGATCTTTGACAACGCATCGCCAGAAGGGAAAGCAACATGGAAACGATGAAGCATGACAACAGCAACGTCACTACGAGCATAGTCATAGTCAGAGTAAGCAACAGTCAGAACAGCGGAAGGATGCAAACTAGGAAGAATAACCGTGATTTTCTTGCTGGCATGACCACCATGGCAAGTAAGTGTGGAACCCTTGCGGCCTTGCCCTCCATCGTTTTCTCGATGGTCATGGCAGGTGTTGGCGCCAGGAAGGGCGTTGACTTCGAGAGCATGAAGTACAGCACGATACCTGCTCCGAACTCCTCGGATTTCGTGGCGCAGCAGATGGGCGTCGCTAAGACTTGGCATTGACGTTTACCGATGGTCGATTAGATCGTAGAGTATCGCATATTATTGTAGGACAAAGTTGCTGTGGCAGCCAAGCTGCGTCGCCTTCAAAGCCTGTTGCCGTGCCCGCCAGCATCTCGGGTGCAGCATAGCCGACTGTTCCAACCTCACACCGGCCCAATGAAAACACCGCACCCTAAACCCGAAACTCTGTCTTGCTGTGGGCGGCTGCCGGCTGCTGCCTTAGGCTGCCACCTTGCGCTTCAACTCGGCCTCGTTCGTGACCAGGCACGCAATCCCGAAATCTGTCAAAACCTGGAGCTGGCAGGTTCTTCTTGTTTGGAGGGTTGCCGGTGTAGGCTTAAGGCATCAGGACAGAACTTCAGTGACGCTACCGGGCTCGAACGTGCAACAAACGTTGCTGCGCTGCGCCAGCTCAGGCATCGACAACTTTTGCAGCCGTCTCAATTAGCAGATTCTCGGGCTTGATGTCCCTGCATTCGAGGAGCAATATGCTGCACAGTCGTCCGATATTTCTATCTCCGACGAAAATTCGACTCAGCAGCCCCAAACCCCTAAAGGCCTAAACCCCAAATCCCTGAGACCCGAAGCCCTAAAACGCTATCCGATCCCGTGGCTCTGCAGGACATCGCTCTTGTACATAAACACATACATATACCGAAAGATGGGACGGATAGGAACAATTATTGATGGATTTGACTGGTTCATTGACTGATTGAATGATCGATTGCTGACAGATAAATAGGAAAGATAAACAGATAATTAGACAGATAGACAGATAGATACACACGTACTCTCTGTTCCTTTGCCTGTCCGAAACCACGGGATAGATAGGAAGATAGACAGATAGGCAGATGATAGACGGATAGATAGACGGATAGGATAGACAGAAAGACAGGTGGATAGACAGACAGGCCAGGCAGACAGGCAGGCAGACAGACCGATAGACAGATAGAGCGACGGGTGGCCGGACAGTTATATATGTGTAGTTAAATATGTATATAAATACACACCCACGTATGTACAAACATACATACATACGATCATACGTACGTACATACATAGTTTGATAGTGCACACAAACTCATGGATGTGTTCGCTCCTTAATTCATTAAGGTGTGAAACCATCTTAGCGGAATTCGAAAAGATGCATTCGCATGTTGTGCAGGGGTCTCAAACCAACACTGACGCAGCAAACATCCTCGCGTGTGAACGGCCTGCATGTTCCTGATAGATCTATTTGCAGAGACGCTGATTATGCATTTCATTGTCTTCCTGTCCAAACGGTCGTGTCGGCAGCCGCAAAGCACCCGCACAACCTAGACAGTTCATCGCATGCAGGGAACGCGCCTGTGGAAAATACCTCGCTTGTGAAGGAAAGTTATCCTCGGCCATGCAGGCTTGGAGAATTGGGGGGTTTGAGCATGACTCGGTACTTGGAGGATCATGGGACTTAGTAACTAGGCTTATAATTAAGGTAACCATACTTCAAATTACGTATAACCCTAATGAGAGTACTGACAACTGTACTTACCAAATCCCATGATCCCTCAAGTATGACACGGGCATTCGGTTTCAAGCTGAGGTGGGATCGACGCGAGCACGCTGTGAAGGATTGGAACACATTCCTTCAGTGGTCAAGCGCAAATTCGTCTTTCCGGGCAGGTCGTCTAAAGCCAGAAAAAGGCGCCTTAATGGATTGAATAGGGTTTTGGGGCCGTTACACTATACTTTTACAAGGAACCCCCAAAATAGTATTGGTAATTATTGAGGCCCCACATTTTATAGTAACCCTTACAAAGCCCCCTTGAAAGGAGCCCTATTCTAAGTATTAAGGCCCCTAGATTACGCAGCCCTTACCTTTGGTTAGTAGGGAATGGAAGAATGGTAGTAATAGTAGTTATCATTGTACCCCATTCCTCCATTCCCTACTAGCCAAAGGTAAGCTATAGGATTATTAAGGCCCCTATATTATAGCACCCTTACAGATCCCTTATAGTAACACTTATAGACCCCTTTATAAGGCCCCTTTCATTCCCTACTAACCAAAGGTAAAAGCCAAGGCAGCCAAAGCTGGCCTTCTCCCGGAGCCTTCGGCCCTCCACGATTCGATCGTACCTCAGACGGACTCACTTGGGGGATCATGGGACTTAGTTTAGGGTTCCCCTTAAGGGTACTATAGGGTTCTATAATGCGGTTCCTTAAAGGGATCGATAAGGGTTCTAGAATGGGGATCATGGGACTTAGGAAGCGCCAGTTATAAGTACTCTAATTGGGGCTGTAAGTAATTTATAGGCATGGTGACCTTAAGTATAAGCCTACTTGGAGGGGCAGGGGACTCAGTAAGTAGGTTATAAGTAGGGTTATTATTGGGGTAACTCCATTTAGGGTACTTATAACTCTACTTATCACCATACTTACTAAGTCCCCTGCCCCTCCAAGTAGTTACTAAGTCCCATGATCCTCCAAGTAGGGACACGAGTTTCTCTGCTCTCGGTACTGCGGTTGATGATCTATAAATCCTGCATTACCAGAAGAACCTCAAACTATGGGGATTGTGGTATATTCCTTATGATGGGTAAAGCAGGATTTATGTCATCAACCGTATACTATAGTAGGCTCATAACTCTACTATAGCGTTACTACACCGGTACTTCGCTATACCAGAATAGGCTAGGGTAGACATACTCTGCGATGATATGCGATAATCCCCTAAACCCTAAACCCTAAACCCTAAACCCTTATGATAAATATACTATTCCGCGGCATCCAAGCGGCAAGTCGCCCTTGAAGTAGTCCATGACCATGTACCACTGCCTGCCGCCCTGACAGACTCAGTCGACTCCACTCCGAGATGCAACAACCAGCTGACGAGAATAATAGCAGAAAGTAGTAATGCTAACAGATAACAGTAGTAATCGTAATGATACCAAGAAAAACATCAACAATATTAACAACAATATATCGGATACATACACGAAAAACAGTAATAACACTAATAACAAGAATGATAGCAAGGATGAAAATACAAACTGTAATACTAATTATTGTAGTCGAGTAATAGTAACAGTCTTAACCTGCCTTGGACTGTTCAGCCGATGTCGGATCTGCCCAGAGGCCGCGAAATCGGACGATGTTGGGATGGCCTTGCCTTAGCACCCGGCTGAGGTGCTCTTTAGTGGTGGGGTTTAGGGTTTAGGGTTTAGGGGTTTAGGGCTTAGGGGTTAGTGGTGGGTTTAGGGTTTAGACTACTTTTAAAGTGGGTGTGGGTAGTTAAGGTAGATTAGAGGGCCGTTGAAGACATCGGATGCACGGACGTGAGGTTTGGGGTCAAGTTCTAGGTTTCGTTCGAAACGTTGTCTGAGGCCCCGGACGCCGCCCTCAGCATTGCAACCTCACAAAATCTCATGGCTTAGGTGGTTCAAGCTTTGAGGCTTTCGGGTGCATTCTTGGCTTCTAATCTGCTTAGGCCGGCACTTCGTTGAAAATCACCTGCGGGTCCACCTGCTGCTGAGAGCACACGCCAAATCAACCAAGAGGCACATCAAACCAGCAGATGTTGCATCTAGAATGCCCAAGCGACGAGAACAACAACACTGCTACCCAGCTCTTGCTGCTTGCTGCAGGCTCACACATTCCGATTCCCGGTCCTGCAGCTTGATGCTCTTCACGGCAACTATCTTGTCCGATAGCTGCTCGGAAGCGCAAACCTGGGAGAACCGAGGAGCAGCGCCCAGACGAAAGTCTCTGTAGATTTCTTGCTGAGGCCCGGGCCACAAAGCCAAAGGCACCCAAACCATGCTTCCCCTGATTGCAGCATTGCAGCATGAGCGGCACCAGAGCAGATCTTGCGGTATTGTGACGAAGCTCTGATGCGCAACTAGACACACAATGAGCCCCGCTAGATTTCCAAACACAGATTCGCACCCAGTCCACCGCCGCCTGCATAAACAAGTGATACTGGGCTTGAAGACCTGCCAAAGGGACAGGAGCTCGAGTTGACCGCATTATGCAACACTCACCGAGTCTTGGCAGGGTGCGGAGAGTAACGGGAACCAGTTTGGGCAGTAACAGAAACCAGTCCCGGAGACAGTAACGGAAACCGACCCGTGTAGAAATTGGAACCGCAACCTGAGCGTAACAGAAACTTCAGCCGGAAAGCAAGGAACCGAAACTACGCTGGAGGTCTTGCCTGGGGGACTCATTTTCGGTCCTCTTGTTTATATGGCCATGGAAGCCTTATGCTCACGCATTTTTTATTCAGGGCATCTATAGGATTGCAAAACACAGCTAAGCACCATCCAGCGAGGACCCGAAACGATGCATTTCCAGTACTCAAGTTGTACTACAACCAAGCACAATCCAGCCAGGACCCGAAACGATGCAATTCCAGTACTATTACTAGAGGTTTAGTACAACCAAACACAACCCAGGCACGACCCCAAAGGAGACATTTCCAGCACTAAAGTTGAACTACAACCAAGTGCAATCCAGCCAGGACCCTACACGAGACGTTTCCAGCACTAAAGTTGTACTGTTTTTTCGACGACAAAACGAGATTCGGGACGCGAAAGCAAGTCCGGTGCCTGACCCACGGTTCCTGTTACGAGGCCTGTTCCCGAGGCTGTTACGGGAATCGGGAGTTTCTGTTACGGAGTGGGCCTCCGTTCCTGTTACAGGTTCCTGTTACGGACAGCCGGTTCGCGTTACGGCAATGACTCAGTCTTAGCAGCAGGGATGCCGCATCACAAAAGGACATATCCGTGGAGAGTGGCCTGATCGAACCCCACCGGCATCGGTGATCTTTTCCAGCACATTATGCGCTTTGTCCGCAGGGCCTGAACGAAGCTGGCAAGACATCCCGCAACAAACACCCCTAACCCGAAGCTCCGAACATTCCACCGCTTTAAACCAAGGACCCGCAAGGGGCTTACGCACAATGAAGTAGGTATGTTGTAGCAAAACTCAGACTCCCTCTCAGACGACTACCGCGGATTGAGGCTCCGACAGGCCAGGACCCAACCCTCCACACCAGTCGCGGCTCTTTTTTGCCTGTGTTTCACTTCGCACATCACGCCCGGTCTAGGGATGTGTGGGACCTCTGTAATTTGCAGGATCAACAGCGTGCATGCAAGTGCACACATCCTTCGTGGCATAGTCACATCTTCAGTTGCAAAATCCTTCACAACCCCTGCAGTCTGAGCTCCACGTCCTGGTAGCAACCATCAGTTGTATACCCTAATCTAGTAGACTCGACCAGAAACTCCTAACATCTGCGATAATGTACCATCATGCACCACAAAAGGCTGATATACTATCACACTACACCCTGTGGGAGAAAACGGCAGCTGCCGTGCGAGCAACGACCAGGCCTCTCCACGTTGGAGGCCCATTCAGCTCCCTGTGTAAAAGTTTAGGGCGTGGGGTAACTGGAGCTTCGACCAACACTGAACTTTCCAAAGTTGTTGGTAGGGTTCTTCTTACGCCTGAAGGGTGGAAACTTCCGCTGCAGCACTACAATCCAGTGGCAACAACTGCGGCTGCTGCTCCTCCTGCTGCTACAGCTGTCCCGGATGCTACTGCCACTACTGTGCCTCCTCCTCTTTCTAACACATCAACCGATACCACTGCCACGCCTGCCCATACACCCACCATGACGACTATTTCTACTGACGACAGCAAAAACGACCACGACGATGACGACAACGAAGACGACGAAGAGTTCTAGTGCTAAGGCGCTACGGCTGCTGCTGCTGCTGCTCCTGCCGCTCCTGTTCCTGCTGCTGCTGTTGCTGATTGCCTGCTCCTCCTCCTCCTCGTCCTCCTCCTGCTGCTGCTACGGCTACTGCGACGGCTGCTGCGCGACTGCTACTACTTGTTTGACGACGACGACGACGATTACTACTCCTACTTAGCTACTACTGCTACTGGGTGATGACCCCGATTCGGGCACAGATGCTGGAAGATGCTTGTCTGCCTAACGAGCCTTGTTCGTGTGATCTTCGCTTTGTAGCAAAAAGAGTCATGCAGTAGCAGCTGAGATTTTGACACACAGAACCCTTGCCATAATACCCACTGAATCCAATTCCCAGCTTCTCCCCATGCCTGCGGGCCCACTGGAACTATGGCAATGATGTTCATTGCCTTGCAGCAACATCTGCTGCAACAATGCAGTTGCAGACGCTTCCATGTAGCATCATCTAAAGGCACGAATCCCAGAAACATCATGATCAGACTCCTCTTGCCGACCCCTGATACATACATATGTATATATATATATATGTACATATATATATATATGTATATATATATATGTATATATATATATATACATATGCGCAACCCATGATACATACATATGTATATATATATATATATATATATATGTGTGTGTGTGTGTGTGTGTATATATATATACATATGCGTAAACATATAATCCCTTCCCCCTAATATTAAACGGGGGGGGCCCCCCCCCCCACCCCCCTAAATAAAAACTCGGAAATGTTTTTAATATTAGGGGGTGGTTGTTATCTCACATCCTGGTTATACCTAGTTTTACCCCACCCATGAACCCCAGAGACTCCAAAACTTTTGAATTAAGGAATAAATCTTAAAATCATGATTATGGGGGATGCCACTATATTTTTGCAATATTCCTTAATTCAAGGGTTTTGGAGTCTCTGGGAAGCTTTAAATGAAATCCACGAGTCACAACAGGTCCAGACATAGTAAGGATTGACAGATTGATAGCTCTTTCTTGATTCTACACCTCCACAGCAATTAGCAGTAGTGCAGTAATTGGCAGTAGTGCAGTATTTGGCAGTAGTGCAGCAATGACCAGTAGTGCACTAATTGGCAGGAGTGCAGTAATGACCAGTATTGCAGTCATTGGCCGTAGTGCAGCAATTGGCAGTAGTGCAGCAATGACCAGTAGTGCAGTAATTGGCAGTAGTGCACTAATTGGCAGTAATGCAGTAATGACCAGTATTGCAGTCATTGGCCGTAGTGCAGCAATTGGCAGTAGTGCAGTGATGACCAGTAGTGCAGTTGTGCAGTAATGACCAATAATGCAGTAATTGGCAGTACTGCAGCAAGTGATGACCAGTAGTGCAGTAATTGGCAGTATTGCAGTAATGACCAGTAGTGCAGTAATTGGCAGTAGTGCAGTATGGAGTAGTAGTGCGGTAATTGGCAGTAGTGCAGCAATTGGCAGTAGTGTGGTAATTGGCAGTAGTGCACTAAGTGGCAGTAGTGCGGCAATGACGAGAAGTGCAGTACTTGGCAGCAGTGCAGCAATTGGCACTACTCTGGACGCAGGGTGCCCAGAGCTTTTGGTCACCCAAAATCTCGATTCCGGGTGGGGAAAGGGCCCAAATGACACCCCTGGGGATTGAGCCAGGGACCTTTTTCCTGCCGCCCCTGCAAGGCCTCAGCCTGCCCGTTAGGCTATGGAAGAATAGTTCTGGGGGAGGCGGCCAGCCACCCCATCTGGTGTTTTCAAGAGAGTCTAGGCGCCGTCATTTGCGCCTTTCCCCCCATGCAGAATCGAAACTTTGAAATGACCCAAATCTGCCACTGCAGTAATTGGTAGTACAGCAATTGGCAGTAGTGCAGTAATTGGCAGTAGTGCAGCAATGACCAGTCGTGCAGTACTTGGCAGGAGTGCAGTGATGACCAGTCGTGCAGTAATTGGCAGTAGTGCAGCAATTGGCAGTAGTGCAGCAATGACCAGTAGTGCAGTAATTGGCAGTAGTCAACTAATTGGCAGTAATGCAGTAATGACCAGTATTGCAGTCATTGGCCGTAGTGCAGCAATTGGCAGTAGTGCAGTAATTGGCAGTAGTGCAGCAATTGGCAGTAGTGCAGTAATTGGCAGTCGTGCAGCAATTGGCAGTAGTGCAGCAATTGGCAGTAGTGCAGTCATGACCAGTAGTGCAGTACTAGTCATTGCTGCACTACTGCCAATGAGTGCATTACTGCCAATTACCGCACTGCAATCTGCCCGCTCCGCCACAGACAGGCAGCCTCAAAGGAGGCCTTTGTGCCTTGGGGCACGAAGGCCGAGCCACAGGCTGTCAAACAGAAACTCTGTACTACCAATTGCTGCACTACTGCTAATTGCTGTGGAGGTGTTGTGGAAGTGTTGTGGAAGTGTTGTGGGAGTGTTGCGGAAGTGTTGTGGACGTGTTGTGGAAGTACTGTGGAAGTGTTGTGGAAGTGTTGTGGAAGTGTTGTGGAAGTGTTGTGGAAGTGTTGTGGAGGTGTTGTGGAAGTTGTGGAAGTGTTGTGGAAGTGTTGCACTACTGGTCACTTATTGCACCACTGCCAATTGCTGCATTACTGCCAATTGCTGCACCACTGCCAATTACTGCACTACTGGTCATCACTGCACTACTGCCAAGTACTGCACTTGTGCAGGTAGTGCAGTAATGACCAGTAGTGCAGTAATTGGCAGTTGTGCACTCATTGGCAGTAGTGCAGCAATGACCAGGACTGGTCATTACTGCACTACTGCCAATTACTGCCCAAATGACGGCGCCTGGAGTTTCTTCAAAACTCCAGACTGGATGGCCGCCTTTCACAAGAACTGTCCTTCCATAGCCTAATGGGCAGGGGGGAGCTTTGCATGAGTGGTAGGGAAGGGGCCCCTGGTTCAATCACCAGGGGTGTCGTTTGGGCCCTTTCCCCACCCGGAATCGAGATTTTGGGGTGACCAAAAGCTCTGGGCACCCTGCGTCGAGAGTACTGCCAATTGCTGCACTACTGCCAATTGCTGCATTGCTGCCAATTGCTGCACTACTGGTCCTCGCTGCACTCCTGCCAAGTATTGCACTACTGGTCATTGCTGCACTACTGCCAATTACCACACCACTGCCAATTGCTGCACTACTGCCAATTACCGCACTACTAGTCAATACTGCACTACTGCCAATTACTGCACTACTGGTCATTACTGCACTACTACCAATTACTGCACTACTGGTCATCACTGCACGACTGCCAATTGCTGCACTACTGCCAATTACTGCACTACTGCCAATCACTGAATTACTGGTCATTACTGCACTACTGCCAATTACTGCACTACTGCATATTGCTGTACTACCAATTACTGCACTACTGCTAATTGCTGTGGAGGTGTTGGAAGTGTTGTGGAAGTGTTGTGGAGGTGTTGTGGAGGTGTTGTGGACGTGTTGTGGAAGTGTTGTGGAATTGTTGTGGAGGTCTTGTGGAGGTATTGTGGAAGTGTTGTGGAAGTGTTGTGGAAGTGTTGTGGAAGTTGTGGAAGTGTTGTGGAAGTGTTGTGGAAGTGTTGTGGACGTGTTGTGGAAGTGTTGTGGAAGTGTTGCACTACTGGTCACTATTGCACTACTGCCAATTGCTGCACTACTGCCAATTGCTGCATTACTGCCAAATACTGCACTACTGGTTCTCACTGCACTCCTGCCAAGTATTGCACTACTGGTCATTGCTGCACTACTGCCAATTAGTGCACTACTGCCAATTACCACACTGCTGCCAATTGCTGCACTACTGCCAATTACCGCACTACTAGTCAATACTGCACTACTGCCAATTACTGCACTACTGGTCATTACTGCACTACTGCCAATTACTGCACTACTGGTCATCACTGCACTACTGCCAACTGCTGCACTACTGCCAATTGCTGCACTACTGCCAATTACTGCATTACTGGTCATTACTGCACTACTGGCGAATTACTGCACTACTGGTCATCACTGCACTACTGCCAATTGCTGCACCACGGCCAATGACTGCAATACTGGTCATTACTGCATTGCTGCCAATTAGTGCACTACTGCCAATTACTGCGCTACTGGTCATTGCTGCACTACTGCCAATTGCTGAATTAGTGCCAATTACTGCACTACTGGTCATCAGTGCACTCCTGGCAAGTACTGCACTGCCAATTACTGCACTACTGCCAATGGCTGTACTACCAATTACTGCACTACTGCTAATTGCTGTGGAGGTGTTGTGGAAGTGTTGTGGAAGTGTTGTGGAAGTGTTGTGGAAGTTGGACGTGTTGTGGAAGTGTTGTGGAAGTGTTGTGGAAGTGTTGTGGAAGTGTTGTGGAAGTGTTGTGGAGGTGTTGTGGAAGTTGCGGAAGTGTTGTGGAAGTGTTGCACTACTGGTCACTATTGCACCACTGCCAATTGCTGCACTACTGCCAATTGCTGCATTACTGCCAATTACTGTACTACTGGTCATCACTGCACTACTGCCAAGTACTGCACTTGTGCAGGTAGTGCAGTAATGACCAGTAGTGCAGTAATTGGCAGTAGTGCACTCATTGGCAGTAGTGCAGCAATGACCAGGACTGGTCATTACTGCACTACTGCCAATGACTGCCCAAATGACGGCGCCTGGAGTTTCTTCAAAACTCAGACTGGATGGCCGCCTTTCACAAGAACTATCCTTCCCTAGCCTAATGGGCAGGGGGAAGCTTTGCATGAGAGGTAGGGAAAAGACCCTTGGTTCAATCCCCAGGGGTGTCGTTTGGGCCCTTTCCCCACCCGGAATCGAGATTTTGGGGTGACCAAAAGCTCTGGGCACCCTGCGTCGAGAGTACTGCCAATTGCTGCACTACTGCCAATTGCTGCATTGCTGCCAAGTATTGCACTACTGGTCATTGCTGCACTACTGCCAATTACCACACCACTGCCAATTGCTGCACTACTGCCAATTACCGCACTACTAGTCAATACTGCACTACTGCCAATTACCGCACTACTAGTCATTACTGCACTACTGCCAACTACTGCACGACTGGTCATTACTGCACTACTGCCAATTACTGCACTACTGGTCATCACTGCACGACTGCCAATTGCTGCACTACTGCCAATTGCTGCACTACTGCCAATCACTGCATTACTGGTCATTACTGCACCACTGCCAATTACTGCACTACTGCATATTGCTGTACTACTGCATATTGCTGTACTACCAATTACTGCACTACTGCTAATTGCTGTGGAGGTGTTGTGGAAGTGTTGTGGAAGTGTTGTGGAGGTGTTGTGGAGGTGTTGTGGACGTGTTGTGGAAGTGTTGTGGAATTGTTGTGGAGGTGTTGTGGAGGTATTGTGGAAGTGTTGTGGAAGTGTTGTGGAAGTACAGACAGCCAAAGCCACCACCCCAAACCCTCAATCTGTAGACCCTAAACCTTCCCCCTAATTCAAATTAGGGTTTAAAGGGCGGTGCTACTTCCGGGTGGATCGGGGGAAAAGTGTTTTTATAATTAGGGTGTTGTTTACTAAAAGGGGGAAGGGATTCATCTACATGTACATGTAAATGTGCACGTACAAACAATATACACATACATATGCATATACATGAAAACAAAAACATGTACACTAAATGTACATTACACATACATGTACATGTACATAAACATATACAGATACATATACATTTACATATGCATATGCATATAAAGTAGCATGTACATACTCATACGCATACACCTACACATACACATACACATGTACATACACATGTGTACAGATGTATACATACATGTACGACGCAGCCATACATCCATACATCCACCCATGCATGTATGCATGCATGCATCCAGACATACATATATCTGTGTGTGCATCGATCTGATGCAAGCTGGCATGCTGGGGCCCAGACAGAGGCAGCAACCTCAGAAGTTCCAAGCTCCGAAGGGAAGAGCTGTACCTGCTGAGGTTCGGGGTTAAGGGTGTAAGGTTTAAGCTTTAAAGGGTCGATTAGTCAATTTGTAATGCTAAGAGGTTCGGGCCTTAGAGGGTTTTGGATTTACGATGAGACGTGATGTTAGTGTATATGATTGAGGATTTGGGACGTGCACAATGCACACACTGTTGCCTGATGATCGCAAGCTTCGACATGCCTTGCACAGAGCCAAACCTGACAAGGCATGTCGGAGAGCCTTCGCTGAGCCTTTCTCACCTGCGATCTCCATCACTCCCCGCTTCGTGTGAATTGCCTCACATGCATCAAGTGGACCCAGCTCCTTCCTTCAATGTTTGCAGCCAGCCAAACAATGGCGTCGCTCGAGCTTCTAAGCCACGGGCCACACGTAGCCGGATGAAACCACTTAGGTCCCCGCGAACCTGACAGGCTCAACAAGTGGCGCTGATGAAAAAATGCAATTGTAATGATAGTGACAGTGCTGATAGAAAAACAAGAACGCAATCGGAATTGCAACAGTAATACTAGTAGTCCTTGTCATAGCCATAAAACAGTGATAGTAGCTATAGTTACTAATAATAGACATCACAAACTTGTCACAAACATGACAACAACAAGAACAGTAGCAACAAAAATCGCAACACTACGAATATTCTTAACAAGAATCTATTAGTATTCCCAGTATCCGAAGACTGCCGGGCCGAATCAGTGAATCTGGCCAATTTTCTTCCCGCAAGGACCCTGTTGAGATTTTGCAGCGATCGATTCAAGCCATAGGCTCCAACAACATTCCAGGAAGGCCGCAGTGGCAGCGACCAGACATTCGAACTGGCCGATGATATTCGTGCGGGAAAAACGCAATTCGCATCAACAGCCTTGACAGCACATTCAGAGGGGGGCAGCTGCTTCGTCAAATCGGACATCCGAGCTCCCGCAGTGCCCTGCATCTCAGCACGATCGGATGGAAAGCCGTGGATGCGTGGAGGCGGCTCTAAGGCGTCGTGGCTCTGCGACTTTGACAGCTTCGGCCAGGAAGACATGGAAATTTCCAAGCTTACGTCCACTTTGAAGTTACACTCCAGTGGAACACCTGTCCGACAGGTCAGTCCCAGAGGCTGAAGTCCGCCTCCCAGTCCTGCGAAGAAGCTGCAGGCAGGCGCAGATAAGGAGCAAGCGGAACGCTTCCTGTCCTCTGAGCAGCACGTCTTCCTGACCAGAGCAGGATGTGCAAATACCCAGACCTTCCAAAATCCCTTAATTTAGGAGAACCATATCTGGGTTCATGTTAGTTGCAGGTAGGTTCCTTAACCAAGCAGGATGGAGCAGGGGGCCATGCTTTGGGATTCGAGAGAAGCTTGGCAGAGCGCGTCAGTCTCCTTTCGGACGAGGCTCACTTCTGCGCCGAGGTGGCGTATTTCCGGCATGCTTAGAAGAGGCGTCGTCCCGGCCAGGGACTCCACCAGGGAGGGCCTCCGAGCTCGGAGATTCGAAGCATTCTTGGAGGGGCTTTTGGGACTTAGTAAGTTGTTTATAGGTAGGGTGATAATTGGGGTAACTCCATTCAAGGTACTTATAACTGTGCTTAAATCCTACTTACTAAGTCCCCTGCCCCCCCAAGTTTGGAGGCATCCCTGAGACTCTGGGAGCCAGGCTCCACGTCGAGTTTCTGGGCCATGAGCCGCAGCAATGCCCGGAACTGCTGGGTGGAGCACAGGAAGGGCTGATTCCTCAGAAGAAACTTCTTCAAGCTGCCGTAAAGAAGACAGGCCTCAAATCATGCTAGGAATGCAGACCAAGCTTCATAAAGGTGTAGAACTTGTGCCGCTCGGTGCCCAGCAAAGACGGGGACATCTTGTCTCCGCGCACTATGGCCAGCACATCTTCTTCCTCTCCGTTTCCTTCTTATGCCGAGATATCGCTTGCATTCTAAGATCAAATGGGGCTTGTCTAAATACACATTGTCACGTGGATGTTGCTGACACTGCACCTTGTGCTTGCATCCAAGATGCTCAGAAGAACATTGCGAAAGAAGTACCTCAGATCCATCTCAGAAACTGATTCGTCGAATCTGATTAATGGGGTATTCGTCTGCAGCTGAGGTGCCAGAAATGCTTCCTGAGCACAATGGGCCTTGGCGGATGCAGCTCCGCAAACTGGAGGTACTCCAGCGCGACCGAGATGGCCCTTCCGATCGTATGTCTTTCGCATGGGGGCTCTGCAAAGAGCCGAGGGTTGATCAGGAGGGCTGTCCCGACCATGACACCATGGCAGCCCGTCTTCTGCAACATCCGGTCGGCTTCCTCTCTGGTGCGGACGCCACCGTTTGCAACCACCGGGATGCTAACTGCTGCCCTGAGCTCCACAGCACAGACGTGATGATTGCAGATGTCAAACAGCATGGTGAAAACACTAAGTATGGGGTTCCTATGTTCAGGGTACGCACGCGTCCTCCACAGCCCGTTGCTGGCCAGTTCTGCCAACCATGCCGAATTCATCCTAACATTTATGAATTGGGCGTTCCCCGACTTGATGAATCGCGATCTCGCCACGGTGCCTTGTGTATTTGGTGTATTCTGGAAGCCTCGAAGTCTCGCGCTCGCTTTGGCCTTCAAGTCCCTCGAAGTCTCCTAAGTCCTGCGACCACTTTGCGAACTTCACGAAATGGAAGTCTTGCTTTCGCTATAGCTAGGCGTTTATTTTTAGGGTACGCGTCGTTGTCGCGCAGCGCAAACTCTCGGGTGCCGTTAATCGTGCTGCTGCGACAGCGAGGTGTGTGACTCGGCGGCCCTCCTGGAATGGTTCTCGGGTAGGTACAGCTTAGACTGCTGGCTCTGTATGATGGCATACCTGCAAAATGTCGTCAAATACATGCTCACAGAACTCATGCTTGGAAAACTCGCGCGGGCTATGACAGACGCCAACATCACCAGTATCATCAATGCCTTCATCACCAACATCATCATCGTCATCACCCTCGTCATCGTCATCATCTCCATCACTGTCGCTACATCATCACCAGCATCATCATCCTCCTCATGTTGGTTAGCCTGCTTGGCATAAGCGTTAATGCCTGCTGTCACTCATGTATCCGAGCCACCTGACCGCAGAAATTGCCTCCAGGTCCACAGGGCCACTCCCCTTTGCTGCCCTCACCCGACCGTGGACAGTGAGCAATGAGCAGCCGGCATCTTGCAAGCGCTTTGCAAGTCGAAGTGTGTCCTGGTTTAGGATTCAGGGCTTAGGGTATGGGATTTCAGAATAAACTACGGTTTAGGGTTTAGGATCTAAGGTTTAGAGTTTTCGGTATGTGGTTTCAGAAGAGTGGGTTGAGGACTGAAGGTATGGGATTTCAGAAAATCTTTGGCTATAGGTTTGAGATTTAGGGGTACTGCGGTAGTGTGCACCAGGTCGGAGCGGTAGAGTAAAGATGACCTACGGATCCGGGTGCCTTGCAGCCCCTCCTGAAGAGATGGAAGAATACGGATCTTGCAGAACACCGGCAGAGGCTGAACCGCAACAAGTGCTTGGACACAGCAGCAGGCATTGAAGACCCCTGACTCATCTTCAATCATGAAGGAACCGTAGCCTCGACAAGTCAAGGGCCAGCATACTGCAAGAAAAGTTTTATCAGCTTTTCCGACTGGCCTTCAAATTCCGCATTCTCCATGGGGCAGCCTAGATTCCTTGGTTGCAAACGGAGTGCGCGGTGCACGTGCGGTTTGCGGCCAAAGGCTTGGACACACCAGCCTAAATAGCTCGTGACAACAACAATACAGTGTCGTGGTGTGCATACTGCCTCTGTCGTCGTTAACATGAGCTTCTGTTGTTCATGCAAATGCGATATCACAACTACCCCTTGGCCGCCTCAAGCTGAGTCCAGCAGCAAATCCAAGGCGTCGAAACCACCCGGTGCCAGGCGGTGCAGCAACAGTGCCATCTTGGAGAGAAGCTCTGGACAGCGCCCGCAAATCTGCACGACAAGCCTCGGACGAGTCTCTCTGAAAATCTGAACCCAAAACTCGGTACCCTAAACCCTAAAGCGTGGCTTTACTGGCGATTTGAGCCCCAGAGGCGGTCTGTCGGCGGACCCCGCCACTGTCACAAACTCTGCCATCTCCTGAACAGATGAGTCGGTTTAGGGTTTAGGGGACGCATCAACTTACCTTTGGTTAGTAGGGAATGGAAGAATGGTAGTAATAGTAGATATAATTGTACCCCATTCCTCCATTGCCTACTAACCAAAGGGAAGTGAAGTTAACAAAGCAACTTCAAGCTGTTTGCAAAGGACTCGTTCGCGGCTACCAGTACAGTCTCTCTGAAAGAGGCCGTTGTCCGCTGGGCTGTTTGCTGCCTGCTTCCGTGACATGGGCTGGGATGCGGCCGGGAAGAGCAAACAGCTGCAAAAAAGCCGCGTGCCTCAACGTTGCCCTGCAAAAAGTGCTGGCTCTTGAGCATCGGTGTGTAGCAGCATTGAGCCTTGCTCGTTTGCAATCCGTCACGGTGCCAAGCAGTTTAGGGTTTTTGTGGTTTAGGGTAACCCTGAACCCCTAAACCCCAAAACCCTAAACCTCTAAACCCTAAACCTTGTGACATCCCGTGGCCACTGTTTGACCCTGAGGCGGCTGCTCCCCACTTGCGCGCCATGAGCCGGAAGGCCAAATCGCTCTGCTTGACCTCAGAAAACTGCAAAACGAAGCCCGTTGTTGCACGATTTCAGAAGTCAAGGAAGCCTACAGGGTGTTTCGAGCAAGATCCTCCAGCCGAGAATGCAGACTTAAGCTTGCAGCTAGCAAAAGACATTAGCTGCATCGGCAAGCTTCTCGTTTAGCATCTAGCTGCATCGGGTAGGAAGGAGGTCTCTAGCAGAGCGACAATGGAAGACCTCCTGAACAGATCCACTAAGGGTACTTCAGGAAAGGACAGCGCGCCTCTCAATAGAAACCCCAGATGCTGCGGTGCCCCGCACACAGGGCACTTTTGGCAACACTTATGTGAAGCTACGGAGCTCACCCCTGCACAGATTAGATGAGTACCGGGCCATGGGAGCAGCGAAGTAGCGCGGGCTCCCTAGCACCTCAACGGAGCTTGGGCTGGAAAGAACGGGAAGGCTGCGCAAGCCCTTTGACTCGACTCGAAACAGCAACGGGCCTCTTCGTAGAAGCGATGCGCGGACGCAGACATGTCGGCAAATTTCGACACATGCAGCGGGCAAGAAGGCAAGCTATCTCACTTGTTCTATGAGCTTGAGCCGAGACACTGAGACACCGAAGTGTGACCGAATTGTCTAGAATCTATACGATGACAGATCCTTCCTCGACTAGATGTGCAAGTCAAAGCCGGGCCTTGAGATCGAGGGCAGCTCTTTCGGCAAGCTTGGAAGCAGAGCCACACTTTTCTATCCTGACCTTAGGCAGAGGAGCCGGCTAAAAAAACGTCTGAGATCGCCAGTGGTGGAAAAGGAAGCGATCCCAAGGTGCCGCAGCCGCAGCTATCGGGATTGCACAGCTGACGATAAACGAGGAAAAGATTCGAATATCAAAGGCCCCACTCATGCCTTCAATCCACCTTTTCAAGCGCTCAAACGGAGTTCCTTGACAAGTACAGCAAGAGAAGTGATGGAAACAATCAAGTAAATGATGATGAGCACAATCATGCGATGCTTGTGGCAAAGGTGAGTGATGTCTGGCATAACCTGCATGACCTGACCCTCGATGGGCCTGCCTGCCCACCTGCACTCGGGATGGCAATGACCCTTATCCCAAGCTGGAAACGTAGGCTTTAAGTCAAAAGGTGCCCAGGCGTTTCAGGTTCGGGGGGTTCAGGTCAGGGTGCAGGTGCAGCTTCGAGCGAACACCCGCCAAGAAACTTGCGAACGAATCATGGGCCAGACTAACATAGGATGCATGCGTACAAACATTGTTTGTCACGAGGACACTAACTTGACGACTGTCACTTCGCCAGACAAGTCGGGGATAAACCCGCAAAGAACAAAAACAGGTCTCGAAGCAGATACTCCGGTGAAGCTCTGATCTCGCCACCCTTTCTGCCCGCAAGAATACGAACCCTTGCCCCAAAACGCAAGAAGGGATGCAGGCACTCTGCTGAGGTTCAGGCAGGGCTCGGTTGACTCGGTGAAGCCTTGCTGTGATACCTCGGGGCTTGACAGGTCCAAAGCAACAGTGAGACGGACCCGAAATATCAATTGTCCGCTCTTCGTCCGGAGCCACATTAAAAATAGTAGCCCCTATATCCCTATAGTAGCCCTTATAGTATTTCATAGACCCGTACGATAGATCCCTTATAGACCCTTTATAAAGAGTTTTTATGCTTGACCCTAAAGGACCTGAGCTGAAAGCACACGAAAACCAGACCAGAGCCCGGAACCGATGCAGGAGGCAGCAGTCAAACTCGTACGTGTCGTCCTGATCCTGATCAGAGCTGAAGTGTCTTGGGAAGCTACGGCCTTGTCTTGCAATTTGCAACAGTTCGTCTAGCTCAAGCCCGAAGGGCCCCTTCAGAAAGTTCACGGCAGGAAACGGAGGATTCGGGATGCCAGCACTGCCACAATTCTGGAAGTTTCACATTCCCTAAAGGCCCTAGATGCGAAGACATATCATGGGATCATGGGAACTGCCGCGACCTCCTCCCCGTCGGACGAGCTGTCTTCCTGGCTTGCTCAGGCTTGAAGCGAGATTGGAGCCCCCGGCAAGCCGTAGTTTCTACAGGTTCGGCGAGGGTCACGAATTGCATCGTCCCATATGTCTTTTGAAACGTGGTAGCATACGAGCCTGCACTTATGCAACTCTCTGACCTCCGCAATTTCTATGCCCCGTTGCCTCCTCGGAAGGCTCACTCTCTTCCTCGGACTCGTCGTCGTCGTCCTCAACCTCTTTGTCTTTGGGCGACCGCGCAGCCGATGTCCCATCCTTCCGACCAGGCCATGACAGTGACAAAGCACAAAGCACAACCTCCTTGCGACAGCCGCTCCTCCTGTCCAATGAGTACGGTGGTGACCTTGGATCAAGACGACATCATGAAACAGCCCGTTCCGTACGCTTACGTGATGTCAACACTCACCCAGAACAGGATGCAAGTTCGCCGATCAACACAGTCCCGGCTAGGGCCAAGGCGTCACCCAGCGACAGGGTCGCCTGGATCAGGCTTCCAACACAGTGCATTTGGGATTGAATCGGTGGTTGATGCTCACGCGACCCCGCCAATTTCACTGCCTGGCCAAACTTCTTGCGCAACTCCTTCAAGGACCTTTCAATGCACAAGGGCCGACCCTGGACAATCTCTGGCATTTGAGCGCAGGGGACAAAAGATCAGGCCCGAGCTCACCCTTGTCGTTTGTTTGCCGGCCAAGCTCGTTTACATCCATGGCTCTATTGCTCTAAACACCGGATGGAAAATGGGGCTGAGACTGAGTTCGTGCGACTCTTCGATACCGCTTCATGTTGGCACAAACGGTATTTACAGAGCTGCATCACGTCGGCTGAGAACTTGCATTTCTGCATTGTGTAGGCAACCATGTGGTGAATGCAGCTTGAACTGAGAAAGTTGCAAACATGCACAGCTTAGTTTCAATTCTTGCGCTTGCATAGGACGGCTACCAGTGCTTCCACTCAAACAGGACTAACACTTGTAAGAAACAAAGCTTCGCTTGCAATATCGCAACATTATGCATGACTCGACAACAAGCACAGTTGCAATCTAACAATCGTAACTTGCCGCCATCGGACGGCCTTGCCATGGAAATCTTTCAAGCACACAGGGGCTCTTCGATTTCGCTCGTTGTGAATCAGGCTTTGTGAATCACGACAGCTACAGCATTTGCCATTCGACTGGCGTCGACAATAAGTCTACGCTTTACGTGAACAAACTGCATATCGAGTTTATTGAAAATCCCAGTACCAGCATTGGGCGCAGAAGTGGAACAAATAGATGACTGTGCAACAGACCTCGGCGTTGCAACGTCGCACCACTGACTACATATACCACCCTGTCCACAAACTCCACTAATGCACGAAGAAACGCAGCTTTCTGTCTCTGTTACCTCTACCGTCAAATTCTGTTGATTTTTGGAATCTCGAACTGAACCATCTGTTTCGGAAACTTCCACAGCTACAATCAACCACAAATTGTTCTTGATATAAACACTATTTTCCAGCTACAATGATCAGAATCACTTTCATTCCACTGCCGACATGCAACAAGAACATGCTTGCTTCAAGCTGAAGAAATTTAACCCCAACCATGCAAAACCACTTGCTAAGGAGTGCTTCGCACCATGCAAAGGAGTGGCGCATGCATGTCAAACACATCTTGGATTGTGGCGCGAAATCCATCGTGCATGCTGTCGGTTTCGCCAAGTATGCTGACCATATTCCAAACGTGACAAAGAGAACTTGCATTATCAAGATCTGCAAATCTCCAAAGTTAAAAGGAAGACCGCATGCACTTCCGCGAATCTGTTCTTGTCTGTCAACAAAAACAAAACAATTTTCATTTTGTCACGCATGAATCGCTGGCAATGTTGAAAACGTGCTAAGAACTCACCATGGCTTCCAATACCTTCATTTCTTTCGCAGCCAGAGCTTACAGCAAGCTGTATGGGGCTGCCATGGCTGCTCTTTTTCCGCATCGCCTCAATTGGGACGCTCTTGCTTATATTTTCTTGTCGGAACAGAACGCTTGCAAGATTACAGACGTTTCTTCACTTGAGCATAGGTTTTTGCAGGGTGTTCGAACCTTGGGTTCGAACACCTGCGGGGGAGTTCGGGGGGGGGAGGCTGGGAACATAACATTGGATCCCGAGTTGAACCTTGAGTTCAAACATTTGGAACGGAGGTTGAACTCAGAGTTCAAACGTGCTTCACCGGTGTTCGAACCCTGCTAATACTACTAAACTGTTACTACTCCTGGGTTCAAACACCGGTGTTCGAACCCTGCTAATACTACTAACGACCAACACTACCCATACTACACTTCCTAATACTACACTTACTACTATCTTACACTACTAACACGACTTATACTAGTAATACTACTAACACTACTAATACTATTTATACTACTGATACTAATAATACCACTAACACTACGAACACTGGGAATACTATTGATACTATTAACACTACTAATACTACTAAAAGAAGAAGGAGAAAGCCACACGAAAATGCTTTCTGGGTGAAAACAAAAGAAATCTCTCAACACCACAACAAACCACAGTGCCCTATCTCGAACACTGGTGTTGGAACTCAAGTTACTCCGGTTTTTGAACTCTGCGTTCGAACACTGGTGTTCGAAGTCACTCAGAAGTTCGAACATGGGTTCAAACACGTGTTTGAACCCTCGGTTCGAAAAGGTATTTGAATCCTGGTTTCAAACATGTTCAAAACCTGCCAAAACTACTAATACTTTCTTACGATTTGCGGGTCAGCTGACCGAAGGGGTTTCCAAGTGCATGCCGCACGCACCACGTGGCACATCGCCACAAGAAAGAAGCACTTCGCTTCGAGAGCACTCCGCTCGCCCCCCAGGGTTGGGTGGGTGGGAAAACAAAATTTTCAGTCTTGAGCTCCAACTCCGAGCCAAGACTTTGCAGCATAACATGGTTCAAACAGCGTGCGGCATGTGAGACGCGAAACATTTTTCAAGTAATTCCCGAAAGCATCGCGAAGGGTTCTTCCGTGTGGAACGCCGCAGCTGAGTACATAGATGACAGACATAGAATCAACTTACTTGACTCCGTACTTTACTCTACACTTGATACTTGACTCTACACTTGATACTTACTTACTTACTTGACCCCTATTTTGACTGACTCTCTACACTTGACACTTGACTCTATGATACTTGACTCTACACTTGATACTTGACTGTATGTTATGCTTACGACTTACTTACTTACTTACTTACTTCAATCTACTTACTAACTTACTTGACACTTGACACTGGACTCTATGCTATACTTACTATACTTACTTATACTTACTTATACTTACTTATACTTACTTATACTTACTTACTTGACTTGCTTAGTTACTTACTTACTTACCTACTTACTTACTTACTTACTTACTTACTTACTTACTTACTTGACTCTATGCCTCTATGACTTACTCTCTACATCTCGGTATCTAATTCTCTCTTTTAAAGCCAGGGGGTGGCACCGTTGTCGTCCATCGGGAATGCAACCCTTCACAAGGATTCGCTGCCTCGGGCGTTCAAACGCGAGGTAAAGTTACACATTTTAGGCGCCCGGCGCAACCCTTCCCAGGGATTCGCTGCCTCGGGCGTTCAAACGCGAGGTAAAGTTACACATTTTGCGGTTCCCGCGCAACCCTTCACAGGGATTGGCATGGGCGAGGGCCCAAACGCTAGGTAAAGTTACACATTTTTTAACTTATTAGGCGCCCGGGTGAACCCTTCACAGGGATTCGCTGCCTCGGGCGTTCAAATGCGAGGTAAAGTTACACATTTTAGGCGCCCGGGTGAACCCTTCACAGGGATTCGCTGCCTCGGGCGTTCAAACGCGAGGTAAAGTTACAAATTTTTCGGGCGCCGTGAACCCTTCACAAGGATTCGCTGCCTCGGGCGTTCAAACGCGAGGTAAAGTTACACATTTTAGGCGCCCGGGTGAACCCTTCACAGGGATTGGCATGGGCGAGGGCCCAAACGCTAGGTAAAGTTACACATTTTTTTAACTTAATGCGGTGCCCGTGCAACCCTTCACAGGGATTCGCTGCCTCGGGCGTTCAAACGCGAGGTAAAGTTACACATTTTAGGCGCGCGGGTGAACCCTTCACAGGGTTTGGGTGCAGTTCATTTTTTTTTGCAACCCTTCACAGGGATTGGCATTTTGCAACCCTTCACAGGGATTGGTGTGGTGGAGTGTTCGAACGCGAGGTAAAGTTGCAATTTCTGCTGTGCATTGAGATGAATTTTGCAACCCTTCACACGGATTGGCGTTGTCGAGTGCTTGAACGCGAGGTGAAGTTACACATTTTGCGGTGCTCGCGGAACCCTTCACAGGGATTGGCTTGAGAGGGATTTGCTTCTTCGATTGTTCTAATCGGTAGGTGTGCAACAGGTGAATTGGCAACCTTTCAGAGGGATTGGCAGGATTGGCAAATGCATATATCGATAAGAATAATATACTCATATACACATATATATAGCAGTTTTCATGAGGCTCCGGACCGCCGTAATCCCTGGGATGACCTCTCCCGGCACCTCCTCAGGCCGCGCGGCCCTTGACTCCACGGTGAGCGGTGAGGGCCGCGAATTCTTCGCTCTGGCTAGGTTGCACCGTTGCTTGCTTGCTTCGACGCTGTCTTGCGAAAGAGCGAGCAAGCAACGTGGCGACCTACTCTCACTGTAACTCTATGACGTTATGACTTATGACTCATGGACTCCATGACTCTTGACTGTATGTGCCTCTCGAGGTCCAGGTCGGGCTATGAGCCCTCACGCTATGGGGATCTCGATTAAGCGTTCCCACACATAGAGCATAGAGTGAACTACATCGAGTCAAGTGCATGCTACATAGATGACTCCATGACTCTGCGACTTGATCCCACTATGACTCTATGACGCTATCTCACTGTAACTCTATGACTTTATGACTCATGACTCATAGACTCCATGACTCTTGACTGTATCTGCATCTCGAGGTCCAGGTCGGGCTATGAGCCCCCACGCTACGGGGATCTCGATTAAGCGTTCCCACACATAGAGCATAGAGTGAACTACATCGAGTCAAGTGCATGGTACATAGATGACTCCATGACTCGTGACTTGATCTCACTATGACTCTATGACGCTATCTCACTGTAACTCTATGACTTTATGACTCATGACTCATGGACTCCATGACTCTTGACTGTATCTGCATCTCGAGGTCCCGGTCGGGCTATGAGCCACCACGCTACGGGGATCTCGATTAAGCGTTCCCACACATAGAGCATAGAGTGAACTACATCGAGTCAAGTGCATGCTACATAGATGACTCCATGACTCTGTGACTTGATCTCACTATGACTCTATGACGCTATCTCACTGTAACTCTATGACTTTATGAGTCATGACTCATGGACTCCATGACTCTTGACTGTATCTGCATACGATCCTACACACTGGATCTATCACATAGCCCCACACTCTTCGCTGATGATGCTTTCGGGCCAATTGTCTTCTAGTGTTTTTATTGCCTAGTGTGAAAAGGATGCGCTGGGTGCATCCGCCAATCAAAGTGTGGCACATCATGTTGTGTGCTCATCAACGGCCTTCGACCCGCACGCCTTATTGTACCACCCTTTAGCCTTGCTTTGCAGTCAAATCGTAATCCAAAATCAGCAGTTTTTCTGTACTTCCAGA